AGAGCGCGTGGCTCCAACCGTGCCTGAGCAGACGGAAATAACCCCGCAGAAGGAAGATTCCCATATTGGGAAAGAGGATGAGGTTTCCGACGGCTCGAAGGGCGCTCCCCTCTGCTCCCGGAGGCAGGGGGGGAAGAGGAAGTTCTCCCAGTCCGATGGCGCGTTGCTGGGCTCCGAGTCTGACGAAGATTCGGTGAGGACTTCCTCCAGCCAGCGGTCGCACGAGCTGAAGGTATCCAGTTTGGAAAAGGAGAGAGATCCCAGGCGAAGCTCCGCGTCCCTCCGAGGCGACGACCTGGGGAAGTCGTCCTCGCGCTCCAAGTCGGACAGGGACAGAGGAAGTTCTCCCAGTCCGATGGCGCGTTGCTGGGCTCCGAGTCTGACGAAGATTCGGTGAGGACTTCCTCCAGCCAGCGGTCGCACGAGCTGAAGGTATCCAGTTTGGAAAAGGAGAGAGATCCCAGGCGAAGCTCCGCGTCCCTCCGAGGCGACGACCTGGGGAAGTCGTCCTCGCGCTCCAAGTCGGACAGGGACGAGAAGTACTCGAGCTATTCGAAATCGGAAAGGGACTCGCGCTACACGTCCTCCCGCTCTCGATCGGACAGGGAGAGGAGGCGAAGCCGGTCTCATTCCCGTTCCCGGTCCGACCGGAGCTCCCGAACCAGCTCTTCCTACTCGAGGTCGGAGCGGTCGCATTACTACGAGTCCGACCGCAGATACCATCGGAGCTCCCCGTACAGGGAAAGGTCGAGATATTCCCGTTCGTACGCGGACAGCAGGGCCCGAGAGAGCTCGGACTCGGAGGACGAGTACAGGAGGACACATTCCAGGTCGAGCGACTCGAGGCGTACGTCGTCTCACTCCTCCTCCTCCTACAGAGACTCGAGGACTTCCTACTCCAAGTCGGACAGGGACAGCAAAGTAGAGTCGTCTCACGCCGACGCGGAGAGGAGAGGAAGGTCTTCGTCGAAAGCGGATCGAGATTCAAAAAGGACTTCCGAAAGTGAAGTAACCAAAAGGTGCTCTCCCCTTGACGAGCTGGGCTATCGGAAGGGGACATCCCATTCTAAGCCTGACAGTAATGTGAATTCCTCCCGTTATAAGTCCACCCCTTCAAAGACCCCCACACCAAAGCCTGATAAATTTAAGAGTTCTTTCTGTTGTACAGAATCGATCGAAGAAATAAAGCAGCAGTCTAATTCTCTAGATTTAGAGAGCTCTTGTCTAAAAAGCAACGAGATCAGGGTGTCCGTTGCGAAAAGTTTCGAAAGGGAAAAGACACTTTCGCCGTTAAATCAGTCCAACGATTCGCCCGCTTTGAAAAAGGCAGACGAATCGAAAGTGGGTTTTGCTAGCTCAAAGCCTGAAGAGCTCGCGGGAAACGAATGCCACGACAGTGTTAAAGAGCAGGAAACTTTATTCAAGATGAAGCCCGACCAGTTAAGAATGTGTTTCCCCGTGGAGCTGAGTATAAACGGGTGCCCGGAGGGTAGGGCTGACGGTTTGGCAACTTCCAGTGCCTCCAAACCAGAGGATGTCGCTGTGTCTTCTGACGATAGCCTGTGTCGGTCGGAGGCGTCGCCCGTCGTGAAGACGAGTCTGTTGTATCCGTTGCCGTCTAACGGGTTCGAGAGCACGTACGCGCCTCAAGAGCAAGAGCCGGATGATTCTCGGGTCCAGTCCAGCGAGTGCAACAGTCTGTCCAGGCAAGCGGAGGCTCCGGGCCCGCAGCAGCAAGGGGAAGGCCCCCCTTTGCCCTTCGTGAATGTAGACCCCCCTAAAACTGTCCTTAAGAAGCTGGATGATCAGGCAGCTCCCTGCGACAAAACCAAAGAACCCGTTTATTGCTACATTTCGGACGACGCTGCCCCTGCTCTGTATCATTCGGAGGTTGAGATCGAAGCGGAACCGGCCGATTTAAAAGTTACATCCGAGGCTTTTCTGGACGTGCAGGTAGAGCCGCAAACGGTGACGTGCGACTACGAGAGCACGGAGGATCAGCCCTCGAAGTCCGCCTGTGACGAGGAGATTCCTTCCCAGAAAATCAGCCTGGAGGTGGGCAGCTCGAGCAGGTCAGAGCATCCCGTGCTGGAGGAAAGCGTCTCTTCCAAATGGGATGTGCCGCCGCCGGGCGGGTGCCAGGAGCCGCTCCTGCATTCGGGAGCCGAAGGGATGCTCGGCGCAGACGAAAAAAATCGTGGCGCGGGGAAAGGAAAGCCGACGTTCCAAGATGAACATTCGTACTATTCGGAGGCGCCGCCGGAGCGCCGCAACGCGGAGCTGGTGGAAGAAAGCGCCGTTTCCACCGAGGGAGTCGGGCTGGATGACGTGAGGGTTCAGTGTCCCGACGCGTTGGTCGAGAAGGATGAGGGAAACGAGCCCGTGTTGGCTTCGGCTTTTCCAGACGCCTTGTTCCCCTCTTGCGACGTCGTTGTCACCGCTGAAGAAATGGTGACTCAAGCCCCGACGTGCGACAGCAGTGGCAACGCGGCCGAATTTGTTCCTGCCGGCCACGACGATTACTCTGACACGGGGGAGAGCGACAGCGACGGGGGCAGCGATGACAGCGACACGGAAGAGTCGGATTCGGATGACGGCGCGCCACGGAAACGGCTGCAGTCTGTTGTGGTTGTACCCAAGAACTCAACCATAGCGATGGAGGAGAGCAGCCCTGGCTCCTCGAGGAGCAGCCAAGGCAACAGGCGCTTCTCCGACCACTGGGATGAAGAGCGACCCGAGCCCAGTAGACCCTACTACGAGGAGAATACGGCGAGTAAAGGCGGTCTGCACGGCGAGAGCCGGTGTTCTCCTCAAGGGATGGAGAAGAGCCCGGCGACTTCGACTGAGCTCGGCAGGAAGGAGCCGGAGGAGCTGCGGAAGGGTCCCTGCCAGG